CAACACTTAGCCATTTATAGTGATGAGATAAAAACAACAACAATGTTCCGATGTTGGGCAAAGCAAAATTGTAACGTTACAATCATACACCTGTTGAAGATAGTGGCATATTGTGAGTGAAGAAAGAAATCAAGCATGTTCCTTAAAATAATAGTGTTTCTGGTAATATGAGAAAAAAAACAACAGATATATATATATATATATATACACACATATATTAAAAAAAAAGGAAGTCAAGTAAGTGTAGGGGAAATGATTTCCAACTAAACTCTGTGTACCTGTCCCTCGCACTCGTCGGGCCAGAGGAACTCGAAGGTGGGGGTCCTGCAGTCTCGGGGCTGCCCGCGGAGAAGCCTGCACCTAAATTAGTCATATGAATGGGTCCATGCTATGAGCAGAAAGACACACAGGCGCCATTAGCAGACATCCTCAACTTGACTCTACTGGCCACAGCATCAAGTGTCACTTTTTAGTTTTTTCCTTCTCTTATTTCTGACCAGGTGTCTGACCAACTTTTCCTGGGTCACAATTTTTCGACACTTTTCAGCCTATCACAGAATTTTTTTTCCCCCCACTTAGCACATAGAAAAGCTTCACACACCAACATGATTAAAAAGGAAACAAAACTAAAGCAAAATTTCAAGTGTTTTAATTGTTCCCACAGTGTGGGGGATGAGATATGCTTGAATGCATTATTGGACGTTCTATTTGTATATTAGTTCTGTATATGCTAAGCTAATAGCGATGCTAATTTTTGTTAGCCCATCGATGGTGTTTCCCATGCATTTTAGCATGAAGTCAGCAGACTTGCGTACAGCTGATGATGATGATGGTGTGTTAAAAGGCAAGGCAAGGCGGATGTAGAAAACGATTGCCGCGTTGTAGCGGTTGCTCACCTGATAGCCGAGCAGGCCACTGTCACACTCGTCGGGCACTTCTTCTGTGAATCGTCTTTTCTGCGCTGGATTGGCCGACATGGACGGAGGAGGCGGGGCTTTGGGCGGCGCCACAGCCGACGGAACGTAGGACATGGGAGGAAGCGTCTGCTCCGAGAGAAGAAACACGTTTGTTTGCCAAGTACGGAATCAAGGCGTCCCGAAAAAGCCCCCCTAAAATTTTGAGTTTCTGTTGGCTGTCAGCTATGATCATCAAGCACACGGTATGACATTCCCAATGATCGCGAATGGGTACCTGGACCACCGAAGCCGGAGGAGGAACTGGAACTGGAGCTGGAGCCGGAACCGGAGGAAGAACGGGTGGCGGAAGAGGTGCCGGAACGGGAGCGGAAACGGGAGGCGCCGGACAGAGTGGCGGGGCCAGATTTGGAGGCGGCGGCGGCGGCACCGGCGTCGGTGGGAACTGAGGGAGAACAACCTTGGGTGGCGGGATGGGGGAGGGCACGGAGAAGGGCATCGGTGGGGGCTGGTTCTGAGGCGGCGGCACCGGCATGGGGTAGCCCGGCTGGAAGCCGGCCGGGGGGTAGTACGGGGGCATCCCGTTCATCACCGGGGGCTGTGTGAAGCCTGCAAGGAGCAGAGGGTTCTGAATGTCAGTGTCTTGTCCAAGGAAACCAAGACAAGTCTTATAAAAAAAATTCTGAGATTTATTCGAGAAAAAAAAAACACGGAGAGACACCGTTCACAGATCTGTCACGGGAGACTTCTCCCCCCCACACACATCTCACGCTCTTTTTTTATCTCGTTGGGAGGGCTATTCCATCAGCTTGATTGCTAATTGTGCCAGACGGCAAGGTTCCAACTCAAGTATTTGGAGTCGTCGGAGTTTGTTTTCCTTCCCTTTCATGGGGCAAGGCAAAGATATGTAAACGTAGGCCTTCAGCAACACAAATCCCCATCGTGTCTTTCAAAGAGTGACAGACACGTCCAAACAACTTCACTTCAAAGAAAAGGCTCCCCGAGGGTGAATGAGGCGGTGACAACCAAGCTTGTTTGCCACCGGTTACGTTTAACAAGGTCATATATCAACAGTGTCGTTTCTAGATGAGCAAAGTCGCGCGCGAAGCCAACAGCTATGTAGCTGACGCTTCATTCGAGCCTGCCAAATCATGTTCAGCATTGAACAAATCAAAGGCTCAAGAATCTTTGGGCGATTCGCCCAAATTGGTGCCATTTGCGTCCCCTGGCACTTGGATGAAAATACATTCTTATTAGGGCATCTTCCGCATTGGTATGTATTCGGTTGAAAGTTAACATTCAATTTGCGTCAATGTCATGGCTACGGTGTTCGTATTTCATCATTTTAATGCGAAAAAGCCACAAAGAGTTTCAGTCCAAAAACCTCGATCAAAAATGTCCCAAAATAAAGAAATGTTGAAATCCCATTTTGACAATGTACCTTGTTGCGATGGCATCACTGAGCTCATTTGAGCGAGGAAGCGAGAATACTCCGCGTGGACCTAATCAAAGAAGACAAAAGCTCAGCGTGGTTCAACGCTAACAGGAGCAAGCGATTGAAGGCGCTACTCACGGTCTGAAGCAGGTTTTGACACAAAGTTTTGGCCGCTGCAAGACCTTCCGGTTTGGGATGACTGCAGTGGAAGATGGGAAACGCGGTGAGCTCAAAGTACTCTGTTCCATCAGGACAAGCGCAGGGGAGCTGTGTTCACAACCATCCACGCATTCCCGACTCAGCGCACATTGTCAATGACCGTTTGCGGATTCAAACGATGTCAGATGTTGGAGTGTGTTAAGGAGTTTTGTTGAGACAAACAGAGATTTGGTACCATCTTCTGGCATTTTGATGCCAAGATGTTGAGATGAGCTGAGGAGTTTCATTTCAACATAGAATACAATAATCAAATTGATGTGGAATGCAGTTATCGTTTTTGTTCACTTGGGTCGCTTTCCTCACATCTTACTTGGGTAGTCTCTGACTTTTCAGTGTGGGTGTGTGTGGCTTTAAAAGGCGGGGCCTGACCTGGCGAGTGACGTGTGCGCATGAGCGTAGCTGACAGTTGATTGGCTAACCAATCTGCGTGTTGAGTGACTGGACATCAATGGTGGGCGAGAGAAGCTCACGTACAAATGCGCCATTTCCTTTTGTTCGACAAAGTGCATCGCCAACTGTGTCCATCGTTGACCAATCGCCGGACGGGGTGTGACAAATGCATTCCAACTATTGGTGGCCGCAATGGCAAGCGCGATCTATTTGATGGGGAGCGATTTCGAACATAGCCCGGGAAAATCGCCCTGGCTTGAGTGCCCCCCCACCTGATGTAGATGTACATGGGCTCGAAGGCCTCTCGTCCGGATGTGGGCTCCAGACAGCCCGAGCCCTTTCCTCTGAGGAAGACTTTGGCCCCGGTCTCAGACTGGATGTGCTGCAGGTACGAGCAGCTCGGACCCTCCACCCGCTCTTTGACCACAAAGCCCGGGATGGCGTGCTCCAGGCCCACAAAGATCTTATCTTGAACGTAGTGCATCTGTCAGAACATGTCACGGGAACCAGTTGTCAACGCAAAACTTATTTTGGAGTGCTCGGGAATTCAAGTGGCACTTCCAAAGATTATTTCCACAAATATGTTCTGGAAAAATCTGCCTGAAACGCAACGATTAGGCAAATCTTGCGAGGCTGCAGCTTGTCGAGTATCTAGCGCGGTGAATCTCAACGCGTGTTTTGAGTAACCGCTGGTGGTACGCAGGCCCCATCGAGTGGCCCATGAAAGAATCTCTGAATTCAATCCGAATTCGATTGACATTTCAAACAGTAAATACAATCAAACGTATTACAATGAAGCTGCACAAAGTCTGTTTCAACTTTTTGAATTTCAGTTTTTTTTAAAGTGCAGTTCAGTTGTATTTAAATTTCAAGTACAACAGATTAGCTTTTCATCCGAAATGTCTTTTTTTTTTTAAATATTTAAGTTGTAAACTTTGATGTGCAATGATTTTTACTATTTTAGTTTTATAATTATTTCATGGCTAAGCTCACTATTCATTCGGGTGACAGTTTTACAGTGGATAAATTCTCCATACATGCATGACAGTTAGGATTACGAAAAAGTCAATAAAAACTTATGGTAGGAGCTTGACCCTGGAACAAACAAATTCACGTAACATTATTAGCGCTTGGAAAGACTTGGAATTCAACCAGCGTTGCAAAACTTTTGAGGTCCCAGTGTGTTTTAGATCCTCACGTAGCCCTCTTACCCCGGTCTGGAAGTGCGGCTTGTGGTGCGCCATCGGGGGAAGCGAAGGTGGAGGTGCTTGCTGATAAACGGTCACGGCGGGTGTGGTGGAGGAGAAGGATGAGGACACTGACGACGAGGCGGTGGCTGCTTTCACAACCCCATTGGTGATGATCTCCTTGATCTTGTTTACAGCTCCTACAAGCGCACACGAAATCATCAGTCGCTGACAAAAAAAAAAAACAAAAAACAAAAATCATCATCACACATGACACGCATGACTACTGTACTGACGGTCTACAAGCTCCCGCGTCTGTCCCTGAACGTGCAGATACAGAGGCCGGTCCCTAGGACAAAAGAGCGCAGAGGTTGTATTAGGACATACATTTTTAAAAATAATAATAAACACAAAACAAAAAAAAGAGAGAAATGAGCAAGTCACCCGGGTGGCGCTTTGCCCTTCTCCTCTGCAGTCATGTAGCGTCCTCGGGTGGACACGGCGGCACTGCTTACTTTACTGATCTGGAAACAAAGAGTTGAGCACGTCTTCAAATAGATTTCATCAGTGGTGGGCCATCAAGCAGCCAACCTCAATTCTAATACGTGGTCCATGAAATTGCATTGGCTGCGCTGCTTCCAGTACACACGAATATTAGATTTTTTTTTGTTTGTTTGTTTGTTTGTTTTTCAATCATTAAACCAGTCTGTCTAATCTGCCCAGAGCCTTCAGAATCATTAGTGCTCGCCAACTTCTTAAATACATTGTGACTCAGATGAGAAACGTGACATAGTTGCACACTTTTATATTGTATTTTTGTATCATATTAATGGCTTCTATAATTACGATTGTGCTCGTGGTCGTCTTAAGAGACGCAGTAAAGTTCCGCCAAGGTAACGATAAATGTTAAGATTTTACAAAGCAAAGACGAATGTTGTTTACAACCCTGTCAAATTTGAATGATTAAAAAAAAATTATAAATCACCATGTACATAAAATGAGGCTTTGAAAACATGAGAATCAGGCGTTCAAACACCGCTAACATAATCATTGACCAAGATATCGTCGCTGTTCTGTGAAAAACACGTATGGCGATTTTTGTCATTTAAAAAATGTTTACATGAATGAGATGTCCGAAACGCAGGCACCCAGTCATCCATACTGACCTCGTCTTGTGTCTGTCCTCGCGTCAAGAGATTCCGGCATGTGATCGGGACATCATTGATCTCTACCTCCGCCACCACCAGGTCGTCTTTAGTCTTGGCTGGCACCTGAGGTTTCCCAATGCCCATTACCTGTCAGGGAGAAGGGAGGGGGGGGGTGACAAACAGAGTGGTTTTACCTCAAAAATTAAACTTATAGAAAATGCTTTTCATGGACACATTTTGGCTGTCTGGAGGAAATAAAAGCCTGGGTGGCACTAAATTTCGTGTGTTTGGTCTCAGTGGCCCTTGTACATTTCATCGTGTTTCCGGTTTGTCCAAAATGCTGCTGCCCACCTCCTAACTGGAGCTCATAGGAGGAAGCAGTGTGGTTGTTTCGAAAAGGATCCATAAATAAAGATGACAGGTAAATTAGGTCCTTTGTATTTGAAGGCACTGGCGTACGAATAAATCAAGTACTGCTGCAATTTGAACTGCCTCCGGGTGTCATTATGACGCAGGGCAGTTCTAAACTACTGCCAACTACAACCCTATGATTACATTCATACCTCTGGCACTGTCAAGCGAATCTCATCACAGGAGCAGGTTAAACAAAAACAAACGGCAGAAAACTTTGCTTGCAGCAGTGTTTGTCGTGTACCTTTTCAACAGGCCCCGGTGGGCCGATCTGCGAGGGCTTCAGTTTGCCCTTGGCCACGAGCATGGCGTTAATCTTCGCGGCCACGGCGGCGGCGGCGTCCAGAGCTCCGGTGGGTGCCGCCTCAGCCTCCCCCGGTCCTCCACAACCGGGACCCGGCTGGTCCCACTTGCTGGCGCGGCGGCTAAGTAAAACAACAACAACGCACCATTTACTCATACACAACAAAGTGGAAGGTTTGCATAAGATCATATGATTACAGGCCTTGTTGTGATTGCGGTATTTTAATAGACGGAAAGGTATGTAGTCCGTTCGAATAAAATGTGGCTAACTACAAAGAGCTAATTCGCAGCAAGAGTCCTCCGTGATTACATAAATATCACAAGGGTATAAATGACGACGGCGAAAATATTACACGAACGCAAACTCACCCGCCGTTTTGACTTCCACCTAATGACATATAGGTCCTTAAGAGTTCCTCTTTCGCCGTGTAAAACACACGCGAGGGATGTCTTCTCCTATATTTAGCACACGTACTGCACGAACTGACGCTGAGCAAACCAAGCAGACGCTTCCGTCTCCGGTTTGTGGGTTATTGCTCAAAGCCGCCGTGAGAGGGCGACAAAGACAATCTGGTCGTTTTTCAAAATGGTGGCGCTCACCTGTTCCATTTTGGAGGTATTATTTTTTTTATTCCGTTTTTCCCAAGCGCGCTTGAGCTTGAGCTGTATCAAGGTAAGTTTGAGCCATACTTGAACTCATGTTGGGACACGAGCTGACACCTATTAGATGCCCGCTGTTTTTATTATGTCGCGATTTAAAGAAAAATCCCAATGAGAGTACACCAGGATAGTACAGACCTGGTCCACGTGGACCGTAAATGTTGGTAGTGACAACAAACTGCCCCCCACCCCCGGAACCCCACGACCAATGTCACTGGAAATAATTGGAATAAAAGAACAAAACGGTGTTTAAGTTTGGTCAATATGTTTAGAATTAAGGATGTTAGGACATTTTAAAAAGGCTTCAAAAACGTTGTCATCTTGGCCATTCCCAAAACAATGGAATGGCCTGTGAACGGTTTTTAAGAAAAACTAAGAAACTGAAATCTTGACACTTCATATATATATACATACAGTATGTATATATACTGTATATATATACAGTATGTATATATACTGTATATATGTATATATAAATGTCTGCTCTGAACACTGTTATTACAACTTTAAACTGCTCCGCTACAGCCAACATTTGTAATTTTAAAAATTAATCGAGCGCCACTCTGAGCGTAGGTGTGGATGGCCAATTCTATCCTGACACACCAAGACATTATATCTGCCTTTGGAGAGACTTTGGAGTGTCTTCTGCATAGCCACCCATAATGTTCGCATGACTAAAGTGTCATAAGGTCAACGTTCAGAGGAACCTCCATGCCTGACTCGACTCGGATGCCCGTTTACGTGCAAGAAGAGGAGGAGGCCGAGAGTTAGGGAGGAGACCGCAGAGAAGAGCAGACGTGTCATATTTACAGTCTTGCTAGTAAGAGCCCAAGTGCGAACCGTAATACGTATGTTGGTTGGTGTAACCTCCGGCCTCTCAAGCTCACAAGCCAGGGCCTCGCCTGATCTTGGCCGCTGACGCCGATGTGCGAAGTCACCGAATGTGATGGAGAGGAGGGCGCCTCCCCGCGGGGTCCCATTGAGTCAAACAAAGAAACACTGTGAGCAGCCGTGGGTTCCGTATTTGCTGTCAAACCAGCAATTACAACGAGGTCAAGCACAAACACATTTGATCCAAGAACGTTTTCCCATGCCAAACGAGGGAATACAAACCAGCTGGCCATTGCAAAGATCGGACTACAACATTTCAACATTCCAAATGGACGTATCGTGGTGCCTTGACTTGAGAATTGAATTCATTCCGCCACCTTGCTTGTAACTGAGAGCGCATCTGTCTCTGAGTATCTTTCTTCGATTTAAATGAATGGAAATGCAATTCGTCCATTTCAGCCCCATCATCACCATCATCAAATCTTTTGTCATTTATTTTTGATTAGAAATATAGCACTTTACATTATTGCACTTTTAAAAAAATAGAATAATAATAATAACATCATTGAGTAGATGGTAACGAATTCAACAGTCATTCATCGTGATTTCGTGCCTCAGTGTGCATTGGCATTGTGCTCTTTCTGGTGTGCGCACCCTGGCCACTAGAGGGTAATGTAATGCAGATGTGCATATTCCACAAAGATGAGTTTCACAACAAAGCGACGCAGTAAATTTTAGTCGTGTTTGGCAGAGGATAGAGAATATCTGCCTGTTTTGTTTTCAAACATCTGTTGCAGTTACAACTGCCTCAGCATTGATGCTAGTTTTGTTCGGCCGCCTACGATGTTTTGCATTGTGTGGTAGCATTTTGTCAATGATTCGGTTTGATTAACTCCGCAACATTTCATTCTTGGATTAATGTTTACAATTACATTGGGAACGGCAATAAACGGGCTTCAGCAAGCACTTGGCTTTCTTTTGGAAAAATATTTTTTTTTTTCTTTTTTTGCCATACGGAGATGTATTTTTCGTATTTGCGATAGCATAAACCGAGCCCGTTTTTAAAAATGTTTTTCTTTTATATGATGCGATGCTTAGAGCCATATAAATATGTCAAGCGTATATGCAGGAAACTTGCGAAGGGTGAGGGGAAAGAGGGAAAGCATGTGGAGGGATTGAATTTTCGCAGGAAAAGAAGGGAGTGCTGCGGGAATCTTTTTCGGTGTACGTATGCACAGAATGGGAGCCTCCTATACAGCTCGCAGCGGGATCTTGGCCCGGGCCGCGGCCTCGTCTCGTCTGCCCGGCGGGGTGCTTTCCTGAGCGGGCTGCCCAGGGGAGGGGCACCTGCCAGCAGGCGCGATCACTGGTCAAGAGGAGGGCCCGGCAGGCGGGGCCGAGGGGGCGCTGGGATGGAAAAGATGCTCGCTGGTTCCAGGAAAGAGACATCTGTTGGATGTATGAAATCCTCAGGTGGAGCGCAGCGACGTTCCCTCTCGCAACTCTTTGTCCCGGCGAGCAGCTAACGACGCCGGCTGCTATCTCAGGATGAGATCAGAAGCTTCTGTTGTCCAGCAGAGTGAGAGTTATGATTGGAGCGGGCCGCCTGGCGCTGGCCACTACCAACAAGCGCAAAGTTTATAGATAGGCCGGCCTGCCAACTGACACAATATTTTCCATCCATTTGGTCGCCTTGGGCAAACGGTGCCTATTTGAAGTTTATCAAACACTCAGTCATCCCAGCAGCCTCATGGGAGAATGTAATCATCTCGTATGTTGAAATTTTATAGCACATACGCGCGCGTCATTTTTTTGTGTGTTCCCATAGCCTCGCTAACACAATGGACCGAGTATCAAAATGGAAGCTATGTTAGCGTACGATACCAAGTGGAAAAAAAAGACAACCCGCGGTGTGTGTACAGGGCTGCAACCGACCATTATTATACGTATCTAATGGGCTGCTAAGTGCTAACGTAAGCTCACAGGCTGGCCCGGCCTTCTTCTCTTATTTATTGTCTGAGCAATACAAATCCCCAAAGGTCCGGCATGGAAATGGTTGCGTGTGGACGGCAGCCTGAGTTTGACTGACTTATCTGAGTGTTTTGTTGACATGGATCTCGCTTAGTGCCTGTAAATGTCATTTTTGTTGTTGTGATACGTGTTGTTGTGTAACTAGCCATCGACGGTGCGACGCCATTCGCCTACGTTTCAAATTTCAGAAGTAGTTGCCGACTGCATTTCGTTCTGTGCTGGGCCTTAAAAAATAAAAAAATGAAATAAATAAAAACCACCTCCTTGATTCTCGCACGAGGGCTTTCACAAATAAGTGAAACTCGGTCGACAAGACATTCCGAATGTGCCGAGATACCCGCAGTTGTGTGCAAAAGGCTGATGGATATGACATTAACTCCTCAACAGGAGCGTTCCCCCCCCCGTGGTGGGAGTGCACACAGCTGCGGATCATAAGTGCAGTGGGAGCATCGTGTCGCAAGGTAGCCAGGTAAATGATAACGCATGCTTGGACCAGAGAAAGTCCTCAGCACTGTCGACGTATCAAGAAATTCTCGGCTTCAGATGACTTGGGGTGTCTCTCTTGTGAGGCTTTTCACTTGGCTTCCTCGCATTTGCTTTCATGTGCTGACAAGTACTGGGGCCCAAGCGGGTAGCCTGCTCCCCTTCTCTCAGTAGGCTCGTTTTGTAATGGTCGCTTAAATCAAATCAGGTATACAAATTTGGGAAAACCTGGTTATTATGTGATTGAATAACGGTCAATCGAGCTTAATGTTTTTTCTGTCTGGTGTGTGTGTGGGAAGGGGGGAAAAAAAAAACCAATGACCCAGATACAGTGTCTCACTCAAGAATGAATGGTGACATTGAGCTGCTGATGAAATAAAAACCTCAAGAAAATCATCCGTCTTGCTACTGTAGGGTTGCCAACGATGCCGTAAATATGTGCAACGAGGAATTAAACGTGTATTTTTTTTTTTTTTTTTGTCCCAACCTCGTCTCTTGTTAGCGACAGTCAGTGGCTAAAATATCAGAATCTAAGAATACTTATTTTTGGGATGGCCACTGTATTCAGTTGGTCGATTCATTAAGAGTTCCGTCATTTGTGTGGAATTGATTGTTGATGCATCGCATCTTGAAGCAATGGAGACAAAGTGGAGTGCACTCTTTGACCGCTATTGTGGGGCTGGAGCCATTTGAATTTGGTCTGCTGCGTGGTATGGTGATGAAGTGCCGCCCGCCTCCATGAGGCAAAACCATTATATATATATATATATATATATATATATATATAAATTAATAATGGAATGTTTCAAACATTTGATTTCATCAAAATCACAAGAAAACCACCAAGTAGTTCCATGCCACGCTCCGACAAATCAATTCAAGTATATATTTCAATGTCTTAATCTCTTTTGGAGGAATCACTCATAACATGCTTCTCGGAAATATTTCAGATGATCTGGAAAGTAATCACAACCAATCTGAGCTCAATTTGAGTTCCAAAAAAAAAAAAAATTAATACTGCGTTTAAGGTTACTTGATCTTAGCTCTCTGCTCCCGCCCCATTAAATGGGGACATTTATGGCTTTCGTTAGGAATTATGAAGTCTAGAGAAGAGAATAACCGGTCTTGCAGCAAATGTCTTTAGCAGACATTTGAACCAGACGTCAAAAAATGGGGCCATGCGGGCACTTTAAAATAACCACCATCCCTCTGATCAAGCACCATCCTCTGCGTTTTTTTTTTTTTTTTAATCTCTTCACCTCATCCTTACTGCGCTGTGTCATCCAATAATATTTGCCCATGTGCGTCAATGAGCAGCGGGGTCTGTGCTCCAGTACAGCGCGCCCTTTGAGCTCGGCCTACCGAAAGCTCGTTCTTCAGGGAGGTACTGAAACACCAGCCAGCGAGTATTTACAAGAACACGGAAGACCTGACCAACTCGCGGACATGCTGACACATACACACAAGCCAACCAAACGTCACTCAAAGCTTCACATATTATAGCCGGCAGGTGCAACTGAAGTATCACACCATATTGCTCCGTTTTTTTTTTTTTTTTCTTTATTGTCAAGCAAGATGTCATAACTTGCAGCAATGTAGAAATGCACTGTAGCATAGCAAGAGATGTTAATATTTTGTGATTATTTTGAAAGTATTGGGAAGCTCTCGGTATGATACAGCGCAGTGCTACACCATTGCGCGATCTGGCCATTCATTTGCATTTGTCTTTGCTTTCCATACTGATGCAAACCTAACATCAGTATGTCATCAAGTACTGGTCCAGGATCGGCTTCTAATTTACCTGCAATGCCTGTTTTTTTTTTCTTTTTCATGCATTGAAGGTTTTTAGAGTCAGCTCATGTAATGAAGTGTCCAGCGGTGTTCATTTTGCCCTGGTAACAAATCAAATGACTCAGTTGCAGAAAGCATAATCTTTATTTAGAGCTCTATATTAAGCCTTAATATAAACATCAGTCAGTGACAGAGTTGAAGCCATGCAACATCATTGCATGTTCTAACCGAGCAACATAAAAGTGTGTTTTTAAATGTACAAGAAGCTAAGCGAAGACTCACTAAAGCTTCATTCACAATGCCTCCGAAAAATCCCAGAGATACAGACGAGTTGCCAACTGCAAACCTCTGTCAAAGAAGGACAAAAAACTTCCTTGACCTTTTTTTTTTTTTTTTTTTTTTTTTTAGAAAACAAGCCGAAGTGCATCAATAATTGACACTGGAGATGTTTTTGTGCATGCAAAATCTTCATCCAGCAAATAAAATGACATTCCTGCGGTTGGTGATTTGGTTCATGTAGCAATCATCATCTTAATCATAATAATAACAACTCACCGACAGTGATGGTCTTTTACGATATTTTTACCCAGCAGCGGACAGACCCTTTTTTTGTTCTACTTCGCCGTGACTCAGATTGTCATTTTTGCACCGCCAGAAAACCAAACATGAGCGAGCGACTCTTTCATTCCGAAGTTGACACAAAACTTCTTTACAAAGTGCTCCGATTTGCTGCGGAATCATTGGGCTTTGGTGTCTACTGAGAGTAATGCAAAATGATGAATTGACAGTATACAACCCCGCCCCTCCGCCCCACATACGTCTATGTCAGAAAGCACACACAGGAAGGCTCACATTATTGTGTCGGGTGATCCAAAGGAAGCCTATTGCAACGGACTGCTCTTGCGGCAGAGCTGATTCGCCGAGGTCAGCGTTTGGCATTTGCGTCTTCGCTTCCCAGTCAGTAGCGTGTAGAAGAACGGATTCACGCACGAGTTTCCGTAGGTCAGTCCCGTGAGGATCCGGTTCACCGTCACTTGAGTGCCTACCGGTACTGTCCTCAGCATGTCAGGCTGGTAGAGAGGCAGCAGCTGCCAGATCCAGAAAGGGAGGAAGCAAGCCCAAAAGGCCAGGACGATGCCCAAGATGAGAAGCAGGACTTTGGGTTTGGGCGCACGGGCGGGGCAAGCAGTACTCGTGCCCGTCCCCCACGGGGCCCGGGTCTGAGACACCCAGTAAAGTCGGCCGAGGGTAGCGTAGAGCGCGCCGATGGCCAGGCCCGGCCCGAGAATGCTGGTGCAGAAGAGCACGCTCAGATAGGCCTTGGAGCTCTGCTCGTCCCACGCCGGCACGCACAGCTGGCCCTCCTGGTTCTCCCCGTCTTCCAGGTGCAGGGTGATCATCATGGGCAAGCTCAGCGCCACGGCCAACCCCCAAGCCGAGCTCACTCGCAGCAGGCCCGACGAGTTGGTGGAGGAGGTGTGCAGGGGCCGCGCCACGGCCCGGTAGCGGTCCAGGCTCATGGCGGTGAGGGTGAAGATGGAGGCGTGCATGGTGAGGAGGTCCAGGCTCAGGAGGAGACGGCAGCCAAGCTCGCCGAAGGCCCAGTCGGACGCCAGGCTGTCGTAGACGATGAAGGGGGCGGTGAACAGGTAGAGCAGGTCGGCCAGCGCCAGGCTCAGCACCTGCAGGTGAAGAGAGGAGGAGGAGGAGGAGAAGGAGGAGGAGGCGGAGGAGAGGGGGGAGGAGGAGGGGGAGAGCGAGGAAGGGCCAGAAAGGCAGGAGGGTGCGGGCACTCGCGTGAAGCAGCGGGCCAGGCCCGCTCCGCTCCTCCTTCTGCTCCTCCGGCGCCTCAGGAGGAGGCCCAGAGTGTACAGGTTGCCCGTAATGCCCAGGAGGGAGAGCAGGGAGAGGAAGGAGCAGAACACAGCGGTGGATGCCAAGCTGGGAGATGGAGAGCTCGGGGCAGGGGTGGCAGGCAGAGAGAAATTGGGACTGGTCGGCAAGGTGTATGGGGGAGATGGAGGCAAGGAGCCCGAGCCGTCCATTTATCGAATTGTTAGCTGCCGAGGATGTCTGGAGGAATCGTGCAGGCTGGTGGATTTTATTGAAGGCTCAAGCTGCTTGATGGTAACGCATGCAAGTCAGCAGGGACAGATTAAGGGAAACCAAGAAACAAACGCAGAGCTGTTATTCTCTCTCAGCGTTCTTGATCACGCGCAAGGGCCAAAGGCAACAAAACAAAAGCGCATTCGGTGCGACCGCATCGGTGTGCCTAGGTTGAGTGTGACACGCAAATGAGCGTGCAGTAGAAATGAAAATGTCAGCAAAAACCATGGTTCATGTGGTCGCACAAACCATCCGCGGTCGGCACAAGCCTTCCCGGTTTTATGGATTCCTTGGGAGTCGGGCGGAGCGGTCCTGGTTTCCGTAAATAATTGGATTTTCGCTCCGATCGAGGCTCTAAATCTTGACGGAAACCTTTGAGTGCCCGGCCCTTTCCGCGGGTCGTCACTTGGACACCGATCACTTCAGTGGCACAACTGAGATAGCCGAAGATGATGATATTGTGCGCGGGGACACTTTCTCCTCCCCTCGCCAGTGAATGGAGAGCCAATTGACATGGTTGACCTGAAGGTTTTACATTTTGGTCCGCTTTGACAGATGACACGCAGACACGGCGTTTGGGTCAAGATTCTCGATAAATCAGCTCTGCGTGGGGGCGCCTGCCCCCACCCCGTGCGACACACGTAGACCCGGGCGGCACCGGGGTTAAGAGCTGCAGTTGAACTGGAGAGGAGCAGCCGGTCCCCCCGCTGTGCCGCGTGCCTCCGCGTTTACCAGCTCGCTTTGAATAGCTTTCATGACCGCGCCGCTTTGCTCGACACAATCGTCTTTGCAACAGATGTCCACGTCGGACGTCCGCCGTGATGAATTCACCTCCACGTATTCACTCTCAAGCAGAAGAGAAGGGTTTTCTTGACTCCAGAACTTGAACACCCAGCATAAAAACACATAAAAACGGTCCTTAATCTTACCTCAGAGAAGGTGCTGCAGAAACAATATTCCACCGATTGGTCTGGTCAAAAAGTTCCCTCTCCATTTTCGAATCCTTCTCGTGTGTTCATGAGTGGTCTTAAAATCCCCAGAATTTGTACTTGAACGCTTGGGCCGGACGACGAGATCTCTGGACACTTGACCACCAAACTTTGCGATGCGAACTCCGCTGTCTCGTCCCGTCTTGCCCGGTGCCGCTCCTTCTCCTCAGCGCAGTCTTTGATGTGTCCACTACCCGTGTGTGTGCTGCTTGTGTGTTTGAGGGGAAAGGGGGTGGGATGCTGAGTGACGGACTCATCCTACACAGTGGTGAATCGCAATAGCAAGTTGTGTGGGCCTAAACCGGACCCAGGTGGTCCTAGCTGAGTGATTTATTTATTTTGAATTCATTGACACTTTGATTTCCATCCCAACAAATCACTACAAACGGACAAGAATTGTCTTAAAACGCTGCAAAACCCGCAGACCCAAAAATGATACTTTTGCTCAATCTTTTGAAACCGCTTTGAATGATGACAGGTTTGCGGCCGCTTTATGCCCCGCTGATACTTTATTTGCGTGTTCCGTCATGTTTTGCTGGTTTTCGAATGTTTTGAAACCTTTAAGCTGGGCGTAAATCACCCTTTGGACCCTTTGACTATAAATGGTGTTTTGGCAAATGGTCAGTTGAAGTCTCTGACTCCTTTAGAAAGTCTTCAAAGCTACCAATTTGAATAGAAATGTTTCTAATACATTTTGGCACAGTGTCAGCAAATAAACATTTTAATTGAATCCGTTGCACCCTACTAAAAAAACCAACCAATCAAATTTTTTTCCATTACCTGTTTTTAATTAAGGCAAATAGCACCGTGTTGTATAAGGCATCATTAAAGAGAAGGTTCAAAAAGTCAACTGGCCTCAAGTGCAATTTACTCCATTTGCAGTAGTATCCGTGTGTAGGGTGTGTCCCTTTCAGGGGCGTGGCCTCGTGAGTGAAGACCACTTGGCCAGCTCGTCTGCAGTTCAGTTAATGTTTCTTAATTGACTCATTGCATTGCTTCCCATGGGGCTTTTTTCCCTTTGCTTTCAGTTGAAACGGCAACTTCAAAAAACTACCGGCAACAAGATCCAACTTGTTGAGCACCGAAGGAACTCCCGAACATTTGCTCCATCCCACCCCTGGAATCTTTTCATTTAGTTTGTTTGGCTGCGGCCCAGTGTTCAGCTGCCCGTCTTCATCTTTTCAACCGATTGGAGGTGGGGCTTTTTCTGGCGGATAATGCAGCCCCCCTCATAAGGTCCAGAAATGCTGCTACTCCAGTTGGAGTCCGTTTTATCTTACTTTTTATTTCACCAGCACCAGAAATTAGGAAAAGAGCCTTCTAAAGTCCGTGAGCAATGAACACATTTGGTCAACGAAATTCTGAAGACTTCGTGGCTAATGACAGAAGTTACCTTTTTCATTTCTTTTGAAAAAAAATCCCATTGCTGATTTGTAGGGTTTGATGAGTAATGCACTCAATGTTCTATATGTTGTTTATAAATCAAATCAGATTGCGTTCAATGGATTAAAGTTGTGTGAAACCACCACCTTTTTGCCCGAGGTTTTCACATCATCAGAATTTCATCCCGCAAATCCCCCCACCAAAAATCTGCAAAAAGGTGAATCTGTGAGGAGCGAAGGGTGTGGGAGAGCACCGCTAAGCAAAAACTTTCCCATCATCGCAAACACTCCAATATCGATTTGAGGTGAATCCCGTCTGTACGATATAGTCGAACAGAACATTTAGTTTTTTCCGTCATTTTAGGAAATTTGGGTTTGTGGCTCCAGAGCCGAAACACCACATTCGTGATACCCTGAACCGAAAATGCTCCCTCCCTCAACATTTATGGCCAATTGCTTCGGACAGGTCCCTCTTTGTGGGTAGTTCTCCATGTTTTCTTTTCATGTATGCAGGCACACGAGTGAAATGGAAGGCTCCCGCCAAAGCCTGAGGGAAAGGTAGACTTACAACCTCAGCCAACCGATGTGTCGCCGCTGTCGTCTCGCAATAACGCACTTTGGCGCCGACCCTGCGTCAAGTTCAAACGCGCCCACACGAGAGGTTGATATGAGATACGTTGTTTCATTTATCCACAAAATGATCTTAATCAGTCGCTTGTCGTTTTTTTTACATGTCAGCGAAGAGTTGGAAAGGTACAGCATGAGCCCCAAAAGGCACATCAATACTTATATGATGTTTTCGAATGGCCCTCCAGATGGGAAAAAGGCTTCAAAAGTTAGCGTGAAGAGGAGGCTCGACTTGTCACCGGATAAACGGGCCTTTCTAGAGTCCTGGAGCGTAGCTCACAGTTGCCTGTTATCCGACCAGTTGTTTTTGGCCCGCCGCATGCAGAGCCCGTCGCCGCGGTTTGCCAGCTTCAAGAGGCTGCATGATTGAGTCGGGACTGACCGGCTAAGTGTGCGTGCGAAGCAAGCGCACCGTTGGTTGGCTGCCTCGTACATGTACTGGCATACGCACGATGGACAGAGATGGGCAGTAAAAGTGTGTGTGTGTGTGTGTGTGTGGGGGGGGGGGGTACATACCTATCCCCACAGGGTGTGAGGAATTTGAAAAAATACCTGGCACGAGGATGCCAAAATGGGTGGTGGGGGGGGGGGGGGGAGATATGAGACGCTGCTATCATGCAAATAGACACGGATGGATCGTCAGAAAGGAACTCCCTGTTGGCCTCATTACTGACTCAAATGTGTGGGGAATTAAGATTGTTTAAGTTTGTAGGGTTTTCCTTATGGGAAAAAAAAAATTTTTGAATTCCATGATCATGATACGGTCATGATTTGTGTTGCGTTGTGGGGTTTTTTTTGGGGGGGGTGGAGAGGGAGGTTGTTCATCTGTTGCATCATATTTTTTTCAAAAACGGAGTCTGTCCATCTTACTAACTGAAAGGGCCCACGGCAGTAAATAGGTCCTCCACCCCCACCTGCCTTCCAGTGTTACATAAATGTAGCAGCGAAACATCAAGTCGCAGAAAATGAAAAGGCTTGAATGCGGCGCTATTTATTTGTCTCGGCACATCCGTCTGGATCGCTTCCGACACATTATATAATTACATTTACCTGAGCTATGGGTTCGTTCTCGTGCTTTGACCCGCCCTTCATGCATTTTGCACTTGTTAATTGTGATGCATCAATCTCAAATATGCAAATGATGGAGCGCGCTGAAGGAGTTCGGGCCAATCTTGCTGCTGCAGACGCCGAGGCACAATTCTGAAGCCCACTCGGGCAGTTCAAATCCCAAACAAATGCATTTTTAGTGATCATTCCATTTATTAGAAATGCACATTTCCATTGTCCTTTATTTTTCTTTCGTTATTCCCAACATTGTAGTTACCTAACAGGTTTCTGTATTTTCTCAAATAGGGAGCCCTACTCCTACTACTTAGTCCAGGGGTCCCCAACCTTTTTTGCCCCACGGACCGGTTTATGTCAGACAATATTTTCAGGGACCGGCATTTAAGGTGTGGCGGAAATAATACAACAAAATAATATGGTATGAGCTGCATGAAAACTGTGGTGTTTTCGAAATATAATAATAAACACAAGGAGCGTCTAATCTGGCCGCAACACTCCAATCGCTATGGCAATGTTTAATGCCTTCAAAATACGATACAACGCAAATTCAAAGTGCATGAAAATGACGACTCACCACAGCACCGAGCTTGATTTTCTGCAACCAGACGGTCCCATCTCGGGGTAATAGGAGAGACAATGACACCGCAAGTGTGTGGTTTATGTCCAGTCTACTTCGTAATTTTGTTTTCGTCGCCGTTGCTGCATAATCCCCCCGCCTCACACAGGTAGGATGTCGGAAATAGCAAAAGTGCTATTGTGGCGATCTCAGAGTATTC